GGGGGGGTAGACCACTGTGTATAGTGACACGGGGGGGGTAGACCACTGTGTATAGTGACACGGGGGGGGGTAGACCACTGTGTATAGTGACACGGGGGGGTAGACCACTGTGTATAGTGACACGGGGGGTAGACCACTGTGTATAGTGACACGGGGGGGGGGGGAGTAGACCACTGTGTATAGTGACACGGGGGGGGGGTAGACCACTGTGTATAGTGACACGGGGGGGGTAGACCACTGTGTATAGTGACACGGGGGGGGTAGACCACTGTGTATAGTGACACGGGGGGGGGGGGTAGACCACTGTGTATAGTGACACGGGGGTAGACCACTGTGTATAGTGACACGGGGGGGGTAGACCACTGTGTATAGTGACACGGGGGGGTAGACCACTGTGTATAGTGACACGGGGGGGTAGACCACTGTGTATAGTGACACGGGGGGGGGTAGACCACTGTGTATAGTGACACGGGGGGGGGTAGACCACTGTGTATAGTGACACGGGGGGGGGTAGACCACTGTGTATAGTGACACGGGGGGGGGTAGACCACTGTGTATAGTGACACGGGGGGGGGTAGACCACTGTGTATAGTGACACGGGGGGGTAGACCATTGTGTATAGTGACACGGGGGGGGGTAGACCACTGTGTATAGTGACACGGGGGGGGGGGTAGACCACTGTGTATAGTGACACGGGGGGGGGGTAGACCACTGTGTATAGTGACACGGGGGGGGGGTAGACCACTGTGTATAGTGACACGGGGGGTAGACCACTGTGTATAGTGACACGGGGGGGGTAGACCACTGTGTATAGTGACACGGGGGGGGTAGACCACTGTGTATAGTGACACGGGGGGGTAGACCACTGTGTATAGTGACACGGGGGGGTTAGACCACTGTGTATAGTGACACGGGGGGTAGACCACTGTGTATAGTGACACGGGGGGTAGACCACTGTGTATAGTGACACGGGGGGGGGTAGACCACTGTGTATAGTGACACGGGGGGGTAGACCACTGTGTATAGTGACACGGGGGGGGTAGACCACTGTGTATAGTGACAAGGGGGGGGGTAGACCACTGTGTATAGTGACAAGGGGGGGGGGTAGACCACTGTGTATAGTGACACGGGGGGGGGTAGACCACTGTGTATAGTGACACGGTGGGGGTAGACCACTGTGTATAGTGACACGGGGGGGGGGTAGACCACTGTGTATAGTGACACGGGGGGGGTAGACCACTGTGTATAGTGACACGGGGGGGGTAGACCACTGTGTATAGTGACACGGGGGGGGTAGACCACTGTGTATAGTGACACGGGGGGTAGACCATTGTGTATAGTGACAAGGGGGGGTAGACCACTGTGTATAGTGACACGGGGGGTAGACCATTGTGTATAGAGACAAGGGGGGGTTAGACCACTGTGTATAGTGACAAGGGGGGGGGTAGACCACTGTGTATAGTGACACGGGGGGTAGACCATTGTGTATAGTGACAAAGGGGGGGGTAGACCACTGTGTATAGTGACACGGGGGGAGACCACTGTGTATAGTGACAAGGGGGGGGGTAGACCACTGTGTATAGTGACAAGGGGGGGGGTAGACCACTGTGTATAGTGACAAGGGGGGGGGTAGACCACTGTGTATTGTGGTGTATAGTGACTCAAGGTGCACTTCCTTGTTATTGTTTTTCGTCTTAACCATAAGTCAATAACAAGTGTATATATAATTATAATTATTGGTGTTAAAGTAATTATCTTGTCTTAGTTACAGTGAGTAACGTTAATTAACCGAGTGTGATTAACAGGTTAACGTAAATAATTGCGTATTAATTAAAGTGTTAATTTCCTGTGTGGATTGTGTCATTGTCAGCGTTAATTGCATTATTATTATGTGTTAATTGAGGTGTTGTTAAATACTGCCAGTGTCGGGTGCAGTAATTGCCAGAGTGTTCACAGTGTTCACAGTGTTCAGTGTTCACAGTGTTCAGTGTTCACAGTGTTCACAGTTGTTGTTGTTGTAGGCGTGTGGTGAGGGTGGAGACTGTGGTCCCGCCTCACCTCTCACACTGGTGGCACGGATCCCTGCTGCAAGGTGGTGTTGTTACCTCTTGATGTGACACTCCACATTAACGTAACGTAGCGTATGTCAGAGTGTATTAGTATGTAAGTTTGTTTACCCAAGCCTTCAACTTCATCAACATCCATTGAACTGTTATGACACCTCTACCCAATGGGTGGCAGCGCATTGTGGTATTGTCCATAATGAACTTGTAGATCAACTAGCCAGGCGATGCACAACACGCCTCACATTACCCGTCTCCGTGTTGCACGTAAAGGAGCCTTCAAGGATACCACCACCCAACACTTTGTAATGAAATGGAAAACGTGATGCTCACCTCTGTACTATTGGTCCATTAAAAAGAGGTGAGAAACTTGGAAACATGTCAGATATAAAGGCAGAGAAACTGATGTAACGATGACCAGATAAAGGCTGGGACACACCACACTGGCAGCACACAGCTCTAAGTACACAACACACTGGCACCACTCACACTGTACATCAACACATGGCACCACTCACACTGTACATCAACACACCAGCACCACTCACACTGTACATCAACACACCAGCACCACTCACACTGTACATCAACACACTGGCACCACTCACACTGTACATCAACACACCAGCACCACTCACACTGTACATCAACACACTGGCACCACTCACACTGTACATCAACACACTGGCACCACTCACACTGTACATCAACACACTGGCACCACTCACACTGTACATCAACACACCAGCACCACTCACACTATACATCAACACACTGGCACCACTCACACTGTACATCAACACACCAGCACCACTCACACTGTACATCAACACACTGGCACCACTCACACTGTACATCAACACACCAGCACCACTCACACTGTACATCAACACACTGGCACCACTCACACTGTACATCAACACACCAGCACCACTCACACTGTACATCAACACACTGGCACCACTCACACTGTACATCAACACACCAGCACCACTCACACTGTACATCAACACACTGGCACCACTCACACTGTACATCAACACACCAGCACCACTCACACTGTACATCAACACACTGGCACCACTCACACTGTACATCAACACACCAGCACCACTCACACTGTACATCAACACACTGGCACCACTCACACTGTACATCAACACACCAGCACCACTCACACTGTACATCAACACACCAGCACCACTCACACTGTACATCAACACACCAGCACCACTCACACTGTACATCAACACACCAGCACCACTCACACTGTACATCAACACACCAGCACCACTCACACTGTACATCAACACACCAGCACCACTCACACTGTACATCAACACACCAGCACCACTCACACTGTACATCAACACACCAGCACCACTCACACTGTACATCAACACACCAGCACCACTCACACTGTACATCAACACACCGGCACCACTCACACTGTACATCAACACACTGGCACCACTCACACTGTACATCAACACACCAGCACCACTCACACTGTACATCAACACACCAGCACCACTCACACTGTACATCAACACATGGCACCACTCACACTGTACATCAACACACCAGCACCACTCACACTGTACATCAACACACCAGCACCACTCACACTGTACATCAACACACCAGCACCACTCACACTGTACATCAACACACCAGCACCACTCACACTGTACATCAACACACCAGCACCACTCACACTGTACATCAACACACTGGCACCACTCACACTGTACATCAACACACTGGCACCACTCACACTGTACATCAACACACCAGCACCACTCACACTGTACATCAACACACCAGCACCACTCACACTGTACATCAACACATGGCACCACTCACACTGTACATCAACACACCAGCACCACTCACACTGTACATCAACACACCGGCACCACTCACACTGTACATCAACACACTGGCACCACTCACACTGTACATCAACACACTGGCACCACTCACACTGTACATCAACACACCAGCACCACTCACACTGTACATCAACACACCAGCACCACTCACACTGTACATCACACTGGCAGAATAAAGGGGTATGCTAAAATAGTCGGAATAGCAGGAGAGATTTCTGTAATAGAGGGAGTACAGAGAACACATACGGCATACTTAGACACACAGACGCGATGAAGCACCTAAATTATTGGGATCGTCTCAAAGCTCTCCAAATGTGCTCACTACAAAGGAGACGAGAGAGATATCAAATAATATACACATGGAAAATACTGGAGGAACAGGTCCCAAATCTACACAGTAAAATAACAACATGCTGGAGTGAACGATATGGATGAAAATGCAGAATAGAACCAGTGAAGAGCAGAGGTGCCATAGGCACAATCAGAGAACACTGTATAAACATCAGAGGTCCACGGTTGTTCAACGTCCTCCCAGCGAGCATCAGAAATATTGCCGGAACAACCGTGGACATCTTCAAGAGAAAACTAGATCATTTTCTCCAAGGAGTGCCGGAGCAACCGGGCTGTGGTGGGTATGTGAACCTGCGGGTCTCTCCAAGCAACAGCCTGGTGGACCAAACTCTCAATTCAACCCTGGGTTCGGGCTGGGCTTGGGGAGTAGATGATTTCCCAGAACCCCATCAAGCAGGGACATTGGCCACCTGATGCTGTACACAGTAACCGTGCTGGAGAAGTGTGTACGGTGCCAACTGACAACTGTGGAGCACACCGTAGTGCTAAGTGAGAGGAACACACATGCTCAACTCACATTGACTCCTCAGGATATATAATAATACAATCATTCCTCTGGCTATAATAATAATATATCCCCCGTAACTTCAGCTTATAGTATTAATAATATTAAAATAATAATAATAATAATAATAATAATAATAATAAAATCGAGGTAAATTAGGTAGTTGTATCATAAAATGAAGTGGTGTTAGAGTTGAGTAGTGAGGGGCTGTGTGGGCGGCCGCTGGGGGCTGTGTGGGCGGCCGCTGGGGGCTGTGTGGGCGGCCGCTGGGGGCTGTGTGGGCGGCCGCTGGGGGCTGTGCGGGCGGCCGCTGGGGGCTGTGTGGGCGGCCGCTGGGGGCTGTGTGGGCGGCCGCTGGGCGCTGTGCGGGCGGCCGCTGGGGGCTGTGTGGGCGGCCGCTGGGGGCTGTGTGGGCGGCCGCTGGGGGCTGTGTGGGCGGCCGCTGGGGGCTGTGTGGGCGGCCGCTGGGGGCTGTGTGGGCGGCCGCTGGGGGCTGTGCGGGCGGCCGCTGGGGGCTGTGTGGGCGGCCGCTGGGGGCTGTGCGGGCGGCCGCTGGGGGCTGTGCGGGCGGCCGCTGGGGGCTGTGTGGGCGGCCGCTGGGGGCTGTGTGGGCGGCCGCTGGGGGCTGTGTGGGCGGCCGCTGGGGGCTGTGCGGGCGGCCGCTGGGGGCTGTGCGGGCGGCCGCTGGGGGCTGTGTGGGCGGCCGCTGGGGGCTGTGCGGGCGGCCGCTGGGGGCTGTGTGGGCGGCCGCTGGGGGCTGTGTGGGCGGCCGCTGGGGGCTGTGCGGGCGGCCGCTGGGGGCTGTGTGGGCGGCCGCTGGGGGCTGTGTGGGCGGCCGCTGGGGGCTGTGTGGGCGGCCGCTGGGGGCTGTGCGGGCGGCCGCTGGGGGCTGTGCGGGCGGCCGCTGGGGGCTGTGTGGGCGGCCGCTGGGGGCTGTGCGGGCGGCCGCTGGGGGCTGTGTGGGCGGCCGCTGGGGGCTGTGTGGGCGGCCGCTGGGCGCTGTGCGGGCGGCCGCTGGGGGCTGTGTGGGCGGCCGCTGGGGGCTGTGTGGGCGGCCGCTGGGGGCTGTGCGGGCGGCCGCTGGGGGCTGTGCGGGCGGCCGCTGGGCGCTGTGCGGGCGGCCGCTGGGGGCTGTGTGGGCGGCCGCTGGGGGCTGTGTGGGCGGCCGCTGGGGGCTGTGTGGGCGGCCGCTGGGCGCTGTGCGGGCGGCCGCTGGGGGCTGTGTGGGCGGCCGCTGGGGGCTGTGTGGGCGGCCGCTGGGGGCTGTGCGGGCGGCCGCTGGGGGCTGTGCGGGCGGCCGCTGGGCGCTGTGCGGGCGGCCGCTGGGGGCTGTGTGGGCGGCCGCTGGGGGCTGTGCGGGCGGCCGCTGGGGTCTGTGTGGGCGGCCGCTGGGGGCTGTGCGGGCGGCCGCTGGGGGCTGTGTGGGCGGCCGCTGGGGGCTGTGCGGGCGGCCGCTGGGGGCTGTGTGGGCGGCCGCTGGGGGCTGTGCGGGCGGCCGCTGGGGGCTGTGCGGGCGGCCGCTGGGGGCTGAGCGGGCGGCCGCTGGGGGCTGTCAGCTCTAGAGCCACAACACTGAGAGCTCTCACTGTGTTTGTTGTGTGTGTATATTTATCTGGTATATTACTGGTGGTGGCCCTCACCCAGGCCCCTCACCCAGGCCCTCACCCGGGCCCCTCACCCAGGCCCCTCACCCAGGCCCTCACCCGGGCCCCTCACCCAGGCCCTCACCCAGGCCCCTCACCCAGGCCCCTCACCCAGGCCTCTCACCCAGGCCCCCTCACCCAGGCCCCTCACCCAGGCCCTCACCCGGGCCCCTCACCCAGGCCCCTCACCCAGGCCCCTCACCCAGGCCCCTCACCCAGGCCCCCTCACCCAGGCCCCTCACCCAGGCCCCTCACCCAGGCCCCTCACCCAGGCTCCCTCACCCAGGCCTCTCACCCAGGCCCCCTCACCCAGGCCCCTCACCCAGGCCCTCACCCAGGCCCCTCACCCAGGCCCCTCACCCAGGCCCCTCATCCAGGCCCCTCACCCAGGCCTCTCACCCAGGCCCCCTCACCCAGGCCCCCTCACCCAGGCCCCCTCACCCAGGCCTCTCACCCAGGCCCCTCACCCAGGCCCCTCACCCAGGCCCCTCACCCACTCCCCCTCACCCAGGCCTCTCACCCAGGCCCCCTCACCCAGGCCCCTCACCCAAGCCCCTCACCCAGGCCCCTCACCCAGGCCCCCTCACCCAGGCCCCTCACCCAGGCCCCTCACCCACTCCCCCTCACCCACTCCCTTTCACCCAGGCCCCTCACCCAGGCCCCCTCACCCAGGCCCCTCACCCAGGCCCCTCACCCAGGCCCCTCACCCAGGCCCCTCACCCACTCCCCCTCACCCACTCCCCCTCACCCAGGCCCCTCACCCAGGCCCTCACCCAGGCCCCTCACCCAAGCCCCTCACCCAGGCCCCTCACCCAGGCCCCTCACCCAGGCCCCTCACCTAGGCCCCTCACCCAGGCCCCTCACCCAGGCCCCTCACCCAGGCCCCTCACCCAGGCCCCCTCACCCGGGCCCCTCACTCTGGGCCCTCACCCAGGCCAATTGACTGCGGGAAGGGACCAATCACTTGCAACACATCCAGTGATTGGTCCCCAGTTAATGGAAGTGAGGGATGAAGTTAGGTTAAATGTGGCTTAAGTAATGAGAGAAGGGCTTACAATATATTAGATCACCACAAGGGTTGCTTGCAGAACTCACACGGAGCTCCCTCAAAATTCCACGGAACACGGATTCAATAAATACAAAAAAAAAATATCACTGAGGAAACACTAAATTAAAGGCTTCTAATTCAATGCAATTTATTAAACACAATTAGTTATAAATGAACAAATGCACACTCCCTAACTTAAAATATTTGTATACTGAGGCAATAAGGCTTTTGTAATGACTGGCACTTAAAACTTACAAACATTTGTTGATTTGTGGAACCAGTTGCCGCGTAGCATTGTGGAGGTGGGGTCCCTCGATTGTTTCGGGCATGGGTTGGACGTGTGTGTGAGTGGGATTGTTGCCGCGTAGCATTGTGGAGGTGGGGTCCCTCGATTGTTTCGGGCATGGGTTGGACGTGTGTGTGAGTGGGATTGTTGCCGCGTAGCATTGTGGAGGTGGGGTCCCTCGATTGTTTCGGGCATGGGTTGGACGTGTGTGTGAGTGGGATTGGGTGGTTATAAATAGGAGCTGCCTCGTATGGGCCAATAGGCCTTCTGCAGTTGCCTTTGTTCTTATGTTCTTATGTTCTTATTTACCTTTAACCTGTGCAACGTTCTTGGCCAGATGTTGTGAGCTTGACCCCAGGAAGAGCACTCCCTTCTCCTCTTGCTGCCCAGACCACACTGAACTAAGACTACTCTCCCCACTGGGAGGCTCACCTGGCTAATCTTTAACCAGGATTACCACAATTCACACATGTATGTGGTCACGTAAGGTGACTGGATTCTTAATTCAAACTGATGTTAACATACATAGGCACTTGAACTAGATCAATTATTAAATATAATATTGATTACTACATTAATTATTCTAATTTATGGAATTCTCTCGCCCTCAGGCGACGAGCGCTTCAGGTCGACCTAAGGTGACACTGAGCAGCGCTGCCTCCTCTATATATACCATAATATGAATTCAATACCCAGGCCGGTAATCCACATACTTTTTATAAACTCTTTACTAATAATTAAGTAACTACCGAGAGGGCTCAGACACTCTTCTAAGTGAAAGTAAATCGTGGAGAGAATTAGTACCAGACTATCACAGTTAAGCTTGGCAGCCATGCTTGGTGTGTCAGTCCCCTGGGAAGACCTTCTCGTGGACACCCAGGTCTAAGTACCACTCCACAGCCATTGTCCATATATGGCATCTAATACAAGATGTATAAGCTTCTAACACAGCTTAGACTATTACAATGACTAGGTTGGATCCCAAGAGCCAACACCGGTCAAAATCACAAGATAAGGCTAGCAGATATATGATAGGCGGGCAGGAGTACTCTTCTAAGGTATGACGTAAAGAAACTTTTACAACAAAACATTCAACAAACTGACTGACTAATATAGAGCAATAATCAAGTGAGCGTTATGTTAATGTTGTGAGTGGCATTTGGCGGCTAGTGACTGACCAGCGCACCAGGAACCAATCCCACAGCTCTTGACTGGTAAACACTAACACGTCTCGGACACTCTTGCTTGGGCAAGAGGAACAACAATGAACTGACTGAACAACGGTGAACACTCAATTACAATCAACACTTGCAATGCTAATAAATAATAACAATCAAAATAATGCCAGACTTGTCACAAAGACAGTCTGCAATAAATCAATTTAATTACGTTAATGTTTCTGTCGCACAGACAAGAACAATCAAACAATTATACAAATACTTAATTAGTTACGTTAATTACTGCCATCTAAAGTTATCAAAGAACCTTAAACACCATATGTAACACAGACAGTTGACCTAACAACCTGTAACTCTTTAATCAAATTATTCTCTCACCAAGACATTCAACAATCAGTGAATAATTACCTTACAAATCTGTCTCACAGACAGTTATCAAGATTGTTATTACATTATAAGATAAATTACGTTAAATGACCCTTCGATAATTAATACTAATTAATGGTAATTCTTGTTTATCACACAGACAAACCCGTAACAAGACATCACTTGTTCACTACAATTGACAACACAATAAACCCACTACGATAAATACACCACAGTACAACACAGTAATATTCACAACACAAAGTAATCACTTGATAACTTGATAATCACATGATAATGTTGACCTCTGTAGATGCTTCGATGAATACTACAGGGGATACAAGGGAGATACCACCAGCACTTAAATCTGCAGATATAGCTCCTCTGCACAAGGGGGGTAGAATGCTTTGACAAAAAATTATAGACCAGTTACACTAACATCACACATAATAAAAGTTTTTGAAAGAGTGATTAGGAATCAAATTTCTAGTTTTATGGAAAATAATGAGCTACACAACCCAGGACAACATGGATTTAGAGTGGGAAGATCCTGTCTGTCACAGTTACTCAACCACTATGACAAAATCACGGAAGCTTTAGAAGAAAAGCAAAATGCAGATGTTGTATACACAGACTTTGCAAAGGCATTCGACAAATGTGACCATGGGGTGATAGCACACAAAATGAGGTCAATGGGAATAACTGGTAAAGTAGGACGCTGGATACTCAATTTCCTGTCGAACAGAACACAGAGTAACAGTCAATCAAATAAAAGCGAGTCCAAGCGCAGTTAAAATTTCTGTACCTCAAGGTACAGTCCTTGCACCACTGCTGTTCCTTATTCTCATACCAGATATAGACAAAGATAGAAGTCACAGCTTCGTGTCATCCTTTGCAGATGACACAAAAATCAGTATAAAAAATTACTTCTGCTAGAGACATTTAAAAACTACAAGCAGATAATAATAAAGTTTTCGAAATTGAAATTGAAATAAGTTTATTGAGGTAAAATACACACAAAGGGATGAGGTAGCTCCAGCTATTCTCACCCCGTTCAGTACATCGTGTTAATACATATATAGACACACATCACAAGCAATAAACGTATTACCGAACATTCTGAGATATAAACATATACATTTCTTCCTTTACTCAAGTAAAGTTTTCGACAACAGCAGAAAATAACATGATGTTTAACAGTGATAAATTCCAGGTACTCAGGTATGGTAAAAATGAGAACCTTAAACATAATACAGGGCACAAAACACAATCAAATCTGACCATAGTAGGAAGGCAACATGTCAAGGATTTGGGAATAATGATGTCTGACGACCTAACGTTTAGGGTGCATAACCAAGCAAATATTGCGTCAGCCTAAAAAAAATATTACGATGGATTACGAGAGCTTTCAAATCAAGGAATCCCATCACAATGGTTGTACTCTTCAAATTATTTGTGCTGTCCCGTCTTCAGTACTGCTCAGTACTCACTTCTCCCTTCAGATCATGAGATTGCTGAAATAGGAGTATAGAGAACATCATATACGGTATACATAGACGCGATATAGCACCTAAATTATTGGGATCGTCTCGAAGTTCTCAAAATGTACTCATTAGAAAGGAGACGAGAAAGATACCAAATAATATACACATGGAAATTACTGAAGGGCCAGATCCCAAAGCTACACAGTAAAATAACAACGTACTGGAGTGAACGATATGGAAGGAAATGCAGAATAGATCCAGTGAAGAGCAGAGGTGCCATAGGCACAATCAGAGAACACTGTATGAACATCAGAGGTCCACGATTGTTCAACATCCTCATAGCGAGTATAGGAAATATTGCGGGAACAACCGTGGACATCTTCAAGAGAAAACCAGATTGTTTTCTAAAAGAAGTGCCGGACCAACCGGGCTGTGGTGGGTATGTGGGTCTGCGGGCCGCTCCAAGCAACAGCCTGGTGGACCAAGCTCTCACAAGTCAAGCCTGGCCTCGGGCTGGGCTTGGGGAGTAGAAGAACTCCCAGAACCCCATCAAGCAGGTCCTCCAGCAATCTCCACACATGGTAATCAAGGGAGTAATAATCAGGTTCTCCGGGTAGAAGGTGTAGGTACTCGAGCTCCGACCACACATGATACATGCGAGTAATACCCACAGGTGGCAGGTGTGAAGGGCTCAAGCACTTGTACCACACGTTGTTGCATGCGAGACACGCAGGGTTAACACTGGGTGCACATGGTGTGGCACCAAGTGACAGGTGCGACGTATCACAGCTGGGTGGCGGGTGAGGGCGTACACAAAGGTGATACACGTGTGTGCTACACTGGGTGTCACTGCACGGGGTGTAACACACAGGGTGGGGCAAGGTGTTTCAGCGGCAAACACTTACCTGTTTTTCGACATATTTGTGGATTTATCTCACTTAGATCAATTTACCGCACACTGGAAACGATGCTTGACCAATGTAGAATAAATTGAAGAATAATAAACTAACGGATGTCGACAGATGGTGGAGATAAACACGGATCTTAAGACTGCATTACCTCTGCTGGGTGATCACCTGGCGAGCACACACCTTAATCCCAGTTTGTTATCACTCAAGTATCAAATTAAATCCCCCAACCGCAGTATCGGATTCTGGGCGCTAGGCGACTGTTTAATATAATGTCTTGTAAACAGTTTCGTTGGCCGTGTGCCGTCAGCTCAAGGAGTGCACATCCTCACAGGCAGGCGTCAGGATTCACAGTGACTTGAGGGCTGCGCGAGGCGGCCTACACTGGCTTGCCTCACTCTGCCTCGCTGTTCCTCGAGATGAACCAAACACGTTCCAGGCACTGATGCCTTGACAGAGTTAATCCCTCAAATTAGTAATGTCATATGAAGAAAGATGGACAAAGCTTAAATTACATTCTCTATAAAGGCGAAGACCTAGACGTGACATGATAGAGGTTTACAAGTGGATGAATGGGCATATCAAAGGCATATTAATAGGGTATTAAAGGTATCAACACAAGGCAGAACACGAAACAATGGGTATAAATTGGATAAGTTTAGATTTAGGAAAGACCTGGGTAAATACTGGTTCGGTAACAGGGTTGTTGATGTGTGGAACCAATTACCGCGTAACGTGGTGGAGGTGGGGTCCCTCGATTGTTTCAAGCGCGGGTTGGACCTGTATATGAGTGGGATTGGGTGGTTATAGATAGGAGCTGCCTCATATGGGCCAATAGCCCTTCTGTAGTTACCTTTATTATTATGTTCTCCAATGGGGCAGCTCCCTCAGGGTGCTGTGACGTCACGGTTACCATACTAGGCAAGGCCTGTTACACAGTCGTTGAGGGAGGCTGACCCCTCCTGACACCAGCCTGGCTGACCCTCCCTCCCTGACACCAGCCTGGCTGACCCTCCCTCCCTGACACCAGCCTGGCTGACCCTCCCTCCCTGACACCAGTCTGGCTGACCCTCCCTCCCTGACACCAGCCTGGCTGACCCTCCCTCCCTGACACCAGCCTGGCTTACCCCTCCCTCCCTCGCTGACACCAGCCTGGCTGACCCTCCCTCCTGACACCAGCCTGGCTGACCCCTCCCTCCCTGACACCAGCCTGGCTGACCCTCCCTCCTGACACCAGCCTGGCTGACCCTCCCTCCTGACACCAGCCTGGCTGACCCTCCCTCCTGACACCAGCCTGGCTGACCCTCCCTCCTGACACCAGCCTGGCTGACCCTCCCTCCTGACACCAGCCTGGCTGACCCTCCCTCCTGACACCAGCCTGGCTGACCCTCCCTCCTGACACCAGCCTGGCTGACCCTCCCTCCTGACACCAGCCTGGCTGACCCTCCCTCCTGACACCAGCCTGGCTGACCCTCCCTCCTGACACCAGCCTGGCTGACCCTCCCTCCTGACACCAGCCTGGCTGACCCCTCCTGACACCAGCCTGGCTGACCCCTCCTGACACCAGCCTGGCTGACCCCTCCCTCCCTGACACCAGCCTGGCTGACCCCTCCCTCCCTGACACCAGCCTGGCTGACCCCTCCCTCCCTGACACCAGCCTGGCTGACCCTCCCTCCTGACACCAGCCTGGCTGACCCCTCCCTCCCTGACACCAGCCTGGCTGACCCTCCCTCCCTGACACCAGCCTGGCTGACCCCTCCTGACACCAGCCTGGCTGACCCTCCCTCCCTGACACCAGCCTGGCTGACCCCTCCCTCCCTGACACCAGCCTGGCTGACCCCTCCTGACACCAGCCTGGCTGACCCTCCCTCCCTGACACCAGCCTGGCTGACCCTCCCTCCCTGACACCAGCCTGGCTGACCCTCCCTCCTGACACCAGCCTGGCTGACCCTCCCTCCCTGACACCAGCCTGGCTGACCCTCCCTCCTGACACCAGCCTGGCTGACCCTCCCTCCTGACCTTGGAGTTACTACCGTGCGCCATGTTACATCTTGGTGTACTATGTGAGTGCCAATACGGAGGACGGTGATGGTGGTATTAACGTGGAGGTGAAGACATAAGCCGTCACCACACACCCAACATGGCAAGGTTACGGGTGTTAACTCACCTGGACTGAGTACACTCACTCTGTGCACTAGTCAGGGGCTCAAGACGGCGGTGTGCACTCTCCATCACACATGTAAGATAGCTGGTTATCTATTTCCTCACAGGTAGGTGATGTTTATGAGGTGCTTTTTGGGACATGCATTTTTATATATTTGTGTTTTGAGTTTTTTTTTTTATTAAATATGTGTTTTTGTGAAATGTGTTTTTTGTTATTTTTTGAGTATTTTTTTGAGAGATGTGTTACTGAAGAGTGTGTGTAGATGTGTATTTAAACATGATTCAGTAATACTGATGAAATAATACTGGAACATTAACCAAAGGTTCACAGTATAAGTCGCCTTGAGCATCACCTCTTCTCTAAAACTGTATCAACTAAAATCCCTAAATATAAAATAAAACCCTGTAAATGTCTGTATTAATGGTGTCTGACCCTCCCTCCCTGTCTGCACAATGGTCGTTACGGACGCTTGTCGCTGCTGCCTGGATATGAACCTTTCTCTCCTGGTTATCCTCGGCACCAATGTAAATGTTTACTTCTGTATGGTGGTTAAGACGGTGGGAGCTAGGTTATTGGGCAGTTACTGGGGTGCTCCCCCCCCCCCCCCCCCACCCCCCTAGGACACCAGCCCTCTCCTGCCTCTCTCTCCCTCCCTCCCTGCCTCTCTCCCTCCCTCCCTGCCTCTCTCCCTCCCTCCCTGCCTCTCTCCCTCCCTCCCTGCCTCTCTCCCTCCCTCCCTGCCTCTCTCCCTCCCTGCCCTTCCTTACTCCCACTCATTCTCCCTCCCCTTCCTTTCACCCACTCTGTCTCCCTCTCTGCCTCCCTCACACTGCCTCCCTCACACTGCCTCCCTCACACTGTGCCCTCCCTCACACTGTGCCCTCCCTCACACTGTGCCCTCCCTCACACTGTGCCCTCCCTCACACACTGCCCTCCCTCACACTCTGCCCTCCCTCACACTCTGCCCTCCCTCACACTCTGCCCTCCCTCACACTCTGCCCTCCCTCACACTCTGCCCTCCCTCACCCTCTGCCCTCCCTCACACTGTGCCCTCCCTCACACTGTGCCCTCCCTCACACTGTGCCCTCCCTCACACACTGCCCTCCCTCACACTCTGCCCTCCCTCACACACTGCCCTCCCTCACACTCTGCCCTCCCTCACACTCTGCCCTCCCTCACACTCTGCCCTCCCTCACACTCTGCCCTCCCTCACACTCTGCCCTCCCTCACACTCTGCCCTCCCTCACACTGCCTCCCTCACACTCTGAGACCTGGCGCTGAGTGAGTGACAGCGAGGAGCTGCCCGAGCAACGGGGTGATGTTTACCTCGAGATATTTTAGGTTAGAGTTGAATACCTTTACGGACATCTAACTCAAGTTGTAACAACAAACTGGAGAGATGAGGATAACAAGGGTTACTTGGTGGTGGTGGTGGTTGTGGTGGGTGTGGTGGTGGTGGTGGTAGTTGTGGTGGTGGTAGTTGTGGTGGTGGTAGTTGTGGTAGTGGTGGTAGTAGTGGGGGTGGTTGTTGTGGTGGTGGTGGTGGTTGTGGTGGGTGTGGTAGTTGTGGTGGTGGTGGTTGTGGTGGTGGTGGTGGTAGTTGTGGTGGTGGTAGTTGTGGTGGTGGTGGTTGTGGTGGGTGTGGTGGGTGTGGTAGTTGTGGTGGTGGTGGTTGTGGTGGGTGTGGTGGGTGTGGTAGTTGTGGTGGTGGTGGTTGTGGTGGGTGTGGTAGTTGTGGTGGTGGTAGTAGTGGTGGTGGTAGTTGTGGTGGTGGTAGTAGTGGGGGTGGTTGTTGTTGTGGTAGTTGTGGTGGTGGTGGTGGTAGTTGTGGTGGTGGTAGTAGTGGGGGTGGTTGTTGTTGTGGTGGTGGTGGTAGTTGTGGTGGTGGTGGTGGTGGTAGTTGTGGTGGTTGTGGTGGTAGTTGTGGTGGTGGTAGTTGTGGTGGTGGTGGTGGTAGTTGTGGTGGTGGTAGTAGTGGGGGTGGTAGTTGTGGTGGTGGTGGTGGTAGTTGTGGTGGTGGTAGTAGTGGGGGTGGTAGTTGTGGTGGTGGTGGTGGTGGTAGTTGTGGTGGTGGTGGTGGTGGTAGTTGTGGTGGTTGTGGTGGTAGTTGTGGTGGTGGTAGTTGTGGTGGTGGTAGTTGTGGTGGTGGTGGTGGTGGTAGTTGTGGTAGTTGTGGTGGTGGTAGTGATGGTGGTGGTTGATGTGGTGGTAGTGGTGGTGGTGGTGGTGGTGGTAGTGATGGTGGTGGTTGCTGTGGTGGTAGTGGTGGTAGTGGTGGTGGTTGCTGTGGTGGTAGTGGTGGTGGTGGTGATGGTGGTGGTTGCTGTGGTGGTAGTGGTGGTGGTGGTAGTGATGGTAGTGGTTGTTGTGGTGGTAGTGGTGGTTGTGGTAGTGATGGTGGTGGTTGTGGTAGTGATGGTGGTGGTTGTGGTAGTAGTGGTGGTGGTTGCTGTGGTTGTTGTTGTTCTGGTAGTGATGGTTGTGGTAGTGATGGTGGTGGTTGTGGTAGTAGTGGTGGTGGTTGCTGTGGTTGTTGTTGTTCTGGTAGTGATGGTTGTGGTAGTGATGGTGGTGGTTGTTGTTGTTGCTGTGGTGGTGGTGGTGGTTCGTGGTGGTGGTGGTTGCTTTGGAGGTGGTGGTTGCTGTTGCTGTGGTGGTGGTGGTTGTGGTGGTGGTACTTGTTGTTGTGGTTGTGGTGGTGGTTGTGGTGGTGATGGTAGTGATGGTGGTTGTTGTTGTTGTGGTGGTGGTACTTGTTGTTGTGGTTGTGGTGGTTGTTGTTGCTGTGGTGGTGGTGGTTGTGATACCTGGTTGATGGGGTTCTGGGAGTTGTTCTACTCCCCAAGC